CTTCTCTGCATCTATTGAGATGACCAGGTGGTTCTTGTCTTTGAGTCAATTTATATGATTTATGATGTTTATTGATTTACGTATATTGAACCATCCTTGCATCTCTGGAATAAAGCCGGAGGATGATCTGTTTGATGTGTCTGTATGTGGTTTGCAATTATTTTGTTGAGAATTTTTCATCTATGTTCTTTAAGGATATGGCTCTATAGTTTTCTTTTTTGGTTGTATCTTTATCTGGTTTTGGTATTAGAAAGATGCTGGCTGGCTTCATAGAAGGAATTTGGAAGTTCTCCCTCCATTTCTATCTTTTGAATAAAATAAGTAGTATTGGATATAGATCTTCTTTAAAGGTCTGGTAGAATTCTGCTGTAAATCCGTCTGATCCTGGGCTTTTTTTTTTGAATGGGAAGTTTTGTATTAGAGTTTCAATTTCCTTATGTGTTATGGTTTTGTTTAAGCTGTTGATCTATTCTTGGTTTAGTTTTGGTGATTCCCATGCTTTTAGATACCTGTCCATTTCTTTTAGGTTTTCAAATTTAGTAGCGTATAGGTTTTTAAAGTATTCCCTTATAATGTTCTGGATCTTTTTGGTGTCTGTTGTGATGTTTCCCCTTTAATCTCTGGTTTTGTTGATTTGGAGGTGTTCTTTCTTTTGGTTACCTGGGCTAGTGGTCTGTCAATCTTGTTTATGTTTTACAAGAACCAGCTCTTGGATTCATTGATTCTTTGTATTGTTTTCTTTGTTTCCATTTCATTAATTTCTGCTCTGATTTTTGTTATTTTTTCTTGTCTTCTTGATTTGGGTTTCATTTGTTGTTACTTTTCAAGAGTCTTGAGTTGCAATGTTGTCATTTATTTGTGTTCTTTCTGATTTTTTAATGTAGTCACTTAGAGCTATAAACTTCCCTCTAAGGACCGCTTTCAAGGTGCTACAGAGGTTTTGTTGTGTTGTATTGTTCTTTTGATTTAGTTCCAGGAATACTTTTATTTCTTTCTTAATTTCTCCTTTGACCCATTCATCATTCAGGAGTGTGTTATTTAATTTCTGTGTGTTCATGTAGTTACTAGGGCTTCTTCTGGCTTGATTTTAAGTTTCATTGCATTGTGATCTGATAGAATGAATGGAATTATTTCAAACTTTTTGTATTTGTTGAGGCTTGTTTTGTACCTCAGTATGTGGTTGATTTTGGAGAAAGTTCTATGGGGTGTTGATTCCAGAGTATATTCTTTGGTGCTTGGGTGGACTATTCAGTGGATGTCTGCTAGGTCCATTTGATGTATGGTATTATTAATTCAGATCTCTCTTTGTTAATTCTCTGTCCTGTTAATGTAGCTAATGGAGACAATGGGGTATTGATGTTCCCTACTATTAATGAGTTGGGAATAATCTTGGTCTTAAAGTCCTGTAGTACTGTTTTTATGAAGTTGGGTGCATCAGAGTTTGGTGAATATGTGTTCATGATTGGAATATCTTCTTGGTCAATTGTTCTTTGATCAGAATGAAGTGGCCCTCTTTATCTCTTCTGATTAGTGTTAATCTGAAGTCTATTTTGTCAGATATTAGAATTGCAACTGCTGCCTTTTTCTTAGTACCATTTGCTTGAAATATTTCTTTCCATCCTTTCACTTTAAGGTAATGCCTGTCCTTGAAAGTGAGATGGGTTTCTTGAAGACAAGAAAAAGATGGACTTTGTTTCTTAGCCCATTCAACTAGTCTGTGTCTTTAGACTGGGGAGTTCAGGCCAATGATATTAAAGTAATTAATGTAAGATATGTATTGATTCCTGTCGTTTTGATTTTTGTTCTCATTCTTGGTGTAACTGTGTGTCTCCACTGTTATGCATTCATAAAGGTTCTTTCTGTTACCCCTTGGATATAACCATTCCTTTCTTCAGCTGTTTGTATTACTTCAGGAACTCTCTGAAGGGCTGGTTTTATGGACATGAATTTTTTCAGCTTACTTATGTCATGGAAGATTTTTCTTTCCTCTTCAACTATAATAGACATTTTGGCTCGATAAAGTAATCTGGGTTGGCATCTGTGGTCATTTAGAACTGGGAATTCTTTGGTCCAGACTCTTCTGGCTTTCATAGTTTGCACTGAAAAGTCACCTGTAATTCTGATGGGTTTTCCTTTATATGTGACATTTTTCTTTTGCAGCTTTCAGTATTGTGTCTTTGTCCTGTACGTTTAGTGTTTTTGCTATGATGTGCCATGGAAAGTTTCTTTTCTGGTCCTGTCTATTTGGTGTTCTATGTGCTTTTTGTATTTGTATGGACATTTTTTTTTCTTTAATTTCGGGAAATTTTCTTCTACAATCCTGTTGAAGATCTGGTCCATACCATTATCCTGAGATTCTTCTTCCTGTATGCCTGTGATTTGTAAGTTCGGTCTTTTTATGGTGTCACACAATTCCTGCATATTCCATGCTTGTGGTCTAATTCATCCACTTTATCTTCCAGTCTTGATATTCTGTTTTCCATTTCATTCATCCTATTGGTGAGGCTTTTTTCTATTGTTTCTAATTGGCTTATTGAGTGTTCCACTTCCTTCTTCATTTCAGCCTGAGTATTCTTCAATATTTCTAACTCTTTTCTGAATTCATTTGGAAGTTTATCCCTATCTTCTTTCAGTTCTTTCATTTTTTTGTTTGTGTGTTCTTTAAATTCACTGAATTCTTTTATCATGTTTTTAGTTGTTCTTTTGAATTCAATGTCCTGTTTTGTCTCTAGGGGGTTCTCATTGTTCTCCTCTAGAGGATTGTTGGTACTTGGTGGGGATATATTATTTTGTTTTTTCATGTTATTATTTTTTCACTGTGATATGTGGATTTCTTTTGTTTTTTCTGATTCTTGTGTGAGATTCAAGCCTTCCTTTGTTGAGTTTAGGTCTCTTTCTGTTTGTAAGCTTTATGTGTCTTTGTGGTTTACTTTTTGGGCATGAAAAGCTGGTTGGTCTAGGCTTCAGGTTCTCTGTTTTGATTTTATATTGGAGGGTCCAGATGGCTTTTGTCCTGCTGCTCAGGAGTTCCCACAGAGGCCCAAGTTGAATGAGGATCAGATGCTCTCAGGCTTTCTCCTAAGGTCTGGATCCCTCTAGTCAGCAGGCACAGTACAATTTGGGAGGATTGCTAGTTAGAGCTAGGATTCAGGACTCTCAGGCAGTCAGGAAGGAGGCTGGTCTCAGGAATCCAGAGCAAGCAGGGAAGAAGGCTGGTCTCAGGAATCCAGGTTGGGGGTGGGACAGCCCAGCATGAAGGCTGGTCTCAGGTATGCAAAGTTGAAGTAGGGGAAGGAGCAGGCTTTGAGGGCTCCAGGAGACTAGTCTGAGGAATTGGGTTGGTCTGGGTACAAAGGATCAGGAAGCAGTGGGGAGTTTGGGCCAAGAGGGTTAGTCCAGAGGTCTGTGGTGCCAAGAGAAGAAATGGACCAGTGCCCATGATAGGAGGAGAGCAATAAGTCTAATTTTTATGCTGAAATGTTTTCCCATTGTTTTAGGGACCTTGGCCATCGCTTTCCACTGCTTTTTCTAAGGTGATAATACTTACAATAGTGTTCATTTTTTATTGTCTTTTAGCAACATCTTTTTTAAGTTAAAAGCTCTCAGAAACAAAAAATTAAAGAAATAATTAAATAATACAAAAAATCCTATCTCAAGATTAAAAGGACGTGAAACTTAAGAGTTGACTTTTCAGAAACATTTAAAGAAATGATTGAGTAATACCAAAATTCCTATCTCAGGGTTACAAAGGATGTGAAAGTTAAAAGTTAACTTCATAATGCAAGCCATACATAAAACTAGTTGTAGTTATTTCATGTACCTAAAAGCAATATGCCTCGCAGTGTTATAGATTTTCTAATGATTATGTCAAGAAAAACTTTGAATTTTTTTTCTCTGTGTACAGTGTACATGTTCGTGTGTATGTGTGTGTGTGTGTGTGTGTGTGTGTGTGCATGTGAATTCAGGTGCATGTGAGAGCATGCACATACATGTGGTCATAGGTTGACATCAGGTGTCCTCCTCAGGCCTTTTTTTTAAAAGACAGGATGGATCTCTCATTGAACTTGGAACTGGTTGATTTGGCTAGACTGGATGGTCAGAAAGCTCTAAGGATCTGTTCCTTTCTGCTCTTAACATCCAGTATTGGGGTACCAGATGTGCCCCACCCCACCTGGCTTGTACATAGATGATAGAGGTCCAAGCTTGGGTGCCCATACTTATACAGCAAGCTCTTTACCACCTAAGCCATCTACCCATCCTGAAGCCCTTCTATTTAGTGCTAAAAACTTTAACAATGTTTAATGTCTAGTGTTAATGGGCAATAACGTCCATCAAAAACAAACTGTTTGAATTAATCATACAGCTACATTTAATACACCCAAAGATACTCCTTTGTGTACTTTTTTGTAATTATGACATTTACAGTTAGTTACATCCATATTTCGGAAGACACAGAGTGCTGGGTTAGAGCTTTGTAAACTGTGATTACTGGCCAAAATTTTTACAAATTGGATTAAAATTTAAAAATGTATCTTCTGAATATTGTGATTCAGCTAGAAAGTACATAAATACAGTGCAACTATCAGTGTCTTTTGAATTATGATATAAATTGCATTTAGTTTTGAGGATAATTAATTTTTTAAATAAAAATCGCCCAGCCAACTACCTCAGATCTCTTCTTTACAAATCTTCATGAAGTAGTATAACTTGGTATTACCACCCCAGTAGAAAGTAAGCCACAGCATAAGTGGTTTGCCAAATGGCTTTTAGGGGCCATTTTGGGATGTGAATCCTGGGTTCAAATTATAGAGGCACCAATCCTATATGCTTTCTTCTATAAACTATTGAACCAGAAAATAATTTCATGACGACAAAACTTTCCATTTTGGATTTCTTAGAAAAACCTGATTGCAAAGCACATAGGTAAATCTTGGACAGATCAATATGCCTGTGGTTTTGGACTATTGTTTTCCTTAACTGTTGAATACTTTTCCCCATAGGTAGATGATGATGACTTTAATATTTCCTTCATGAAATCAAATGAAGAAAATAAAACTATAGAAATTAATGACTTAAAGATATTTACAAGGTATTCTGTGGTAATCACTGCGTTTACTGGAAACATCAGTGTTGCCTACACAGAAGGGAAGTCAAGTGCCAAAGTGATAGTTACCACATTAGAATCAGGTAAGGGATGTTTTCACCATTGTTAAAAACTGACTGAGACTTGGCTGTTGGTCTTTCTTACAGTTCCTCACTCTCTACTATAAAAATGATATATGATATGAGGCATTTTAAAGCAAATAAATAAAAGGAAAAACCAATGACATCGCAATTGACAAAGTAAAGCCTTTTGTTAACAACAGCTTTGAGGCAAAGTGGGACACAAAGAATCTTCAATCCCAGTAAACACAGAAACAAATAGAAAGCATTCCATAGTACTTTTTGTACCTGTTAAATCTGCTATTTTATAACCTGAATTACTGTGCCTATGAAGTAATTTTCCAGATGTCTGTACCCAATAATGAGCCATCTAAAATTTAGCTTGATTTTTCTGTCTTGACTTTAATGAAAATTTACTAATAATACTCCTCTGTTAAACAACCTGGATTTAAAGATTAAAATCCAAGTTACATTGATTTTAATTATTTTCTACAGTTAGTCAAATGGTATATCTTATTATGTGACTATTTAATAACTTTTAGAATTTATATAGATTTCTTTAAGTTTCTCTGAACAGGAGCTGAATGAACAAAAAGGCTGTGAAAACAATAGAAAATAAGTGTGGAAAGCAAACCTCCCAGAGCTTGCTTGCCCTCCTCCTTCAGAGTCCTGATGGTCTTTGTTACCAGATATGTCCCTGGAAATATCAGGTGGAGGGATGGCTTGTTATAGATTAGTTGTTCCTATTTCTAAGGGATGTATATGAGGTAAAAATATTTTCTGCCATCTTTTCCTTATACTATATTTTCTATTTTTTTCCTATAAAGATTCTAATTTACGAGATAATTTTTTCTCACACTTTGATTTTATTTGTCTCTATTTTCCTGACAAGTATCACAGACTTTTTTTTTTTTTGCTAAGCTTTTTGTGTTTCTCTTGTTTTTCTCTGAAGAAGGAATTGTTGAATGCATTCACATTTATGTATAAAGCCCTGGTTGTCAAATCTTAATTTTCTATATTATTCAAGACAGTAATTAACAATATTTTTAAAAAACTAATTTCCAAGAGAATTTATGATGTAAAGCCATGGATAACTTGGGGATAAGAAGTTCTTACAGACATTGAGGGAATCTGTTGCCTTATCCAGCTTACACCTGGTCCTAAATTTAGAGAAACAGTTCTTTTAAGCTAAAAATATATTTCTCAAACATTGTAAGTGTATAAAAAGCAAATGTAAGCATATATTGAAACCAGCTTACCTTTATTTTAACTATACAGTTTCTACTTAATATTTGGCAAAATAATATTTTACCTGCTTTTCTTTTTTACTTACTATTATTCATTAACATTTCAGAAACTGCTTCAAGAAACTGTCTATAAAGATGTTTGAAAGTTAACAAAGCTTGGGTACCTGATAGCCAACTCTTAAATCTTCCTCACAGAAATTTTTTACAAAAGAGAAAAAATTTCCATTCCCTGTTGATTAAAATGAACTTACTAATTCATTCTGATAGTCTGGTATGGGGAACTGTAGCTCTTTTAACAATAAAATTCATAAAAAAGTGTTTATGTATCATTTATTTCATAATCTGTTGTAACTAGTGACATACTAAGCTGTTTGTAATTCAATAAAATAAACTGAATATCTCAAAATTTAGGAATTAGAAAAAGATAATTAGAAAATTGTCAAAAGGAATTAACAGATATTTTTATTATCCAGGAGTCATGGTTAGAGAAGAAGCACATAATTAGACAAAATTTCATTACCATTAGCCGTACGGAAATGCAAATTAAAGCTACAATATCATGTAATTATATATCTACCCAAGCAGATAACATAATAATTTAAAAAGTATTAATAGTACCAGAGACTGGAAACCACGAAGAGAGATTGGACTTTGATACCTGTGAATGGGAATATAAAATGGTATAGGCACATGTGAAAACCATTTGGTAGTCTATCTTATAAAACTAAATATGCACTTCTCGCATGACCAAGCAATTGATAGTTAACATTGATCATAAAGAATCAGTAACAGATGATCACACATGCATGAGTATTAATATTAGTCTTAACAATAACAAAAATTGGTAACAACCCAAATGTGTTTCCAGGATAAACAAACTATCATAACTACGAAATGGAACACTTCTTAGTGATAAAAACAAAACAAAACAAAACAAAACAAAAAAAACGCCCCTGTACCGTTTCTCTATAATTGGAGACTTGTGGATCAGCGATGACTCAGCTGGTAAAAATGTTTACCAACTGACAATTTAATTTTGACCACTGGGACTCACGTGTTGAAAAGAGAGAATCAAATCTGTGAGTTGTCCTCTGACCTCCATATGTACAACATGGCACCCACTTGCCTGCCACAAAATAAATAAATGCAATTTAAAAAAAAATGAAGTATTGATACACATGGCAGCCCTTGATGGGCCTCAAGATCATCATGCTATCAACATGTTGAAAATGACAAGACAATAGAAATGGAGAATGACTAGTATGTGCTACTAACAAGGGCATATTAGGAGAGAGCATGTTTAAAGTGACGGCCTGGCTTTATATGTTCATTCTGTTGGTGATTATAGGAATTCGCTAGGATTAGAATTCTGTAGAATTATAGCTCATTGACAAAAACATGAAGGTCATGAATTCAGAATAAGACCTGTAGTCTTACTATTGATCCTCTAACAATGTCAATACTTTGACTTGATATTCAGCTACATGGGGCAAAGCTGGAAGATGACATTATGTGGGACTATGTTCCTGTTTTGACAATTTCCTGTGAATTTGTGTTATTTTTAAATAAAATGCTTTAAAATTCAGAGAAGCACTTTCCATATAAAAGTAAATGTAGCAGGACTGCAGGTGCAGCTCAGGGGTGGCCCTAGCTTTGATCCCCACCACGGAATACACAAACACATATGAAAAGACAAACAAACAAACTGAAACAAACAGGATTTTTATGAACTAATGAAATCAGTTTCTTGGCCATTTGGCTAGTTTATATTATTATATGGTTATACAATGTGTGTATTCATCTTTAAAAGCAGAAACTTGAAGGAAATTCATTTTATATTGAGATTACAATGACACATTTTAAAAAGTGTAATTGTCAATATTTCTTTACAGCTCCCAAAGACCCACCTAACAATATGACATTTCAGAAGATACCAGATGAAGTAACAAAATTTCAGCTGACATTCCTTCCGCCTTCTCAGCCTAATGGAAATATCCAAGTGTACCAAGCATTAGTTTACCGAGAAGATGATCCCACTGCTGTCCAGATTCATAACCTCAGCATCATCCAGAAGACAGACATGGCGGTCATTGCAATGCTAGAAGGGCTGAAAGGTGGACATACTTACAACATCAGTGTAAGCAGTCACAGCTTTAACTATTTACCTAGCTCCCTAACTCAGTTTAGAAATTCAGCCCTCAGAAATGCTGTACTAACTCTGCATACCACATTTCCTATATCCTTTTGTGAGATTACTGTTAAAATATCAGCAGAAAAAATATTTAGATGAATGAAATTGTCTATTTCCTGTTACAGTTCAGCAAGTACTATTTTCTGAAAAGTTTTCACAAGAAGAGTGGACATCTAGAAATAATGAAAAAAGAAAACGCTCATTAAAGTCAAAGAATAATGACATGTAAAGAGATAGTTGTTGAAAAGAAAATTATGTATGTGATTATAAATGAAGTACATAGAAGCAAGTTTCAATGAAAATTTCAGAGATGAGTTTATTTCTACCATAAATATGTGCACAATTTCTCATACATATATACAAATTATTTTATCCTTTACTTTTATTTTATTTTGGTCTTTTTGAGACAGGGTCTCCCTGTAGCCCCAGCTGTCCTGGAACTCACTATGTAGACCAGGCTGGCCTTGAATTCACAGAGATCCACCTGCCTCTGCCCTCCAAGTGCTGGGATTAAAGGCGTGCGCCACCATGCCCAGCTCCTTTACTTGTTTTTATATCATGCTTGGAGATTATAAGATGAATTGTCTGGTTTAGAGAAATCACCTTTCATCAACCTATCACCCAATCTACACTTTCCATAGATTAACTTTTAATCCATAGAACAATTCCTTATAATTTTCAATCAGAATATTTTATGCTGATACAGAAATATAAATAGGTAAATATACACTTTTCCTAACCTTAACTTTTATCTTTTGAGAGATTCTTATTACACATTCAGTTAAGTAGATCACTTTTATGAAATATCTATTAGAGGATGAGTGGCAATTTGAACCTGAGTTCAAATCTTGGCATCTGTGCCCATCTAGACAGCTTCAAATATATGACTCAACTTTCTTATGTGAAAAATGGGTGATAGAAATGGTAACTTCTTCAGGATTCTTTTGTGAGGATTAAATGTTTATGGTTATGGTAGGTAGAGAAATACTATATTATCTTGGCTATTGTGAACAAGAGAGACTAGTAAATAAAACAAAGTATAGTTAATCTCTAAAGAAAAATTAAAATTATATAATGACTTGAAAATTGCAATTTAAAGCATCATTAGTATGTTAAGGTTCACTAGGAATATTTTTATTTTAAAAGATTAGCTAGTATCTTTTATGCACATTGCTATTTAAGAAATCCAACTTTTTTGAACTTATCTCAAATTTATAATCGTATCATGAAGAAATAAAAAGTGGAGCATCACTTTTCTTTTTGAATAGTTTATTTTCTAAAAAGCCAATGATGCTAGTAAATACTTCATTTAGTTATCTGTGCCGCATTTTATAGCATTTGTCTCTTTAATATCTCTGTCATACCGTATATGTTATTATAGGTTTAATCCAACAGAAGAATTTCCAGAGTATTAACACTACGGAAGGATAGGCCAGTACACAAAATAAATTAATTCTAATGAATATAGTATGTATACCAAATTGTGTTTAATAAGTACAACAAAATTGCTCAAAAACACAGTTTTTGTTTTATTCAGCCAGATGAAGGAAATTAAAGGATTCCGAGTCCTTAGCTTTCTAAGTGCAAAGTTAATTGAAAGGATTCACATTGGTGTAAATCACCCTCTGTATACACAAACAGAAATGTTTTATGTGTATATGCTGCATTATGCAGGTTATAGCGTTAGAAACTTTGGGGCAGGGGTGAAGAAGGGCATAAAGGCCAACTTTCAGGAGGATGATTTAATACAGGAAAACAGGGAGGCTGAGGGAATAGGATTTCATCTCAGAAGCCAAAAAAGGATCTTGAATATGGATTTAAAGCAGGTCAAATGAAGTAGATGCAGAGAGAAGTAACAGATGTTGGAGTTGACGAAGAGAGCGTCAGCACAGTGGTTCTTATGCTGGGCTCCTCCTGTGGGTTCAAATAGCAGCCGCAGTCTGTCCTGGGCTTTGGGATGACACTCTAGCTCACTCATTTTGCTCTCAAGATTTTCTACCAGAATGACACTCTAGCTCACTCAGATTTGCTCTCAAGATTTTCTACCAGAATATCAATTTTAAGAAATACTTCCTTGTCAATATTCTTCTGATATATATGATATTCAGTTGGGTCAAGAAAACATTCATAGGTAGTACACAATTACTTTTAAAAGAGAGATAACTTTTTAATTGCTTATGACCATATTCAGTTATAAGGAGGACCTGAAATAGTGATAAGCTCTTGCTTTGTTTTAGGTTTATGCAATCAATAGCGCAGGTGCAGGGCCAAATGTACAGATGAAAATAACCATGGACATTAAAGGTAAATGTGAGCTGCCTTCTGATAAAAAGTTGTTTATCAATGTTTACGATCTGACTTTCATGTGAAAGCTTACAAATCTTAAATGATGCTTATGCATCAGTTATGCATGTATTAAGTAACAATGTATGCTTATTAAAAGTATATTTGTAATATCTAAAGAATAGCATGAATTATTAAAGAGAATGCCCATGCTTTGTCTTATATATTTTTGTTTGCTTGTTTTTTAGGCAGGGTCTCACTATGTAGTGCTGTCGGGCCTGGAACTCTCTATATAGACCAAATTGGTCTTGATCTCACAGAGATCTCCTGCCTCTGCCTCCAGGGATTAAAGGCATGCACAATCATGCCCAGCTGTTTTATAATTCTTTTGTTTTAAAACACAAACTTTTCTGAAGAAAAAGCCCATTCATCCTATCTAGTGTCACTTCCTTAAATAATATCAACTCTCCCTCACCCAGAAGTGATCAGCTGCCAATAGTTGTTGGGCTAAGGTTGGCACCTCCTGACCATTTCCCTGTTCTATGCTGGTTTTTGTCTGATTGAATTTGCATGAGTCTTGTACATGCTGTCACCATTGCTGCAAGTTTGTATGAGCATGTTCCCAGAAGCCTGGAGGAGTGTTTCCTTATGGTGATGCACTACCCCTGGCTCCTACAATCTCTCCACCCCCTATTCCTCAATGATCCCTGTTTAGAAGAAAGTTTGTTTAAATAGTCTGCCTAGATTTTGAGGCACCTTAGATTATTTAACTGATCTCTGTTTATCTTAGAACTTAGATTCAGTTTAGTTTATCAAATAGTACTTATGAAACTCCCATATAATCAACATCATAATTTTGATTCTAAAGTAGATCAATTCATTAATCTTGGATAGTATTTTCATAAAGATTATAACTAAAATTCTCCCCCTGACAAATGATCCACAAACCCAAAAGAAGAATTTAGAGCCATTTGACCAGTTTTGGTAACTGCTTGTCTGAAGATTGAAACAAAGTGATGGATCTTGCTACCTCTATCACTTATAGAGCCATTTAAAAAGAAAGAGAACAAAGACTTCATGAGACTTTTTAAAGAAAACATCAACAAACACTAAACAAAAGAAAACTCCAAAGCATCTGTTCCCAGCTCTCTTTAGCAGAATTCCAAGTAGTATGTCTCCCAGAGTGTTGGAAACTCTTGACACTGAATTCCATATTGGTCTCTTGATATGCATTTGGCTCTGGAAACACTTTTTAACATGTATAAATCTTTAGAGAACAGATAATATTGATGGCTACCCCTCAGATAGTTTATTATGAGGACTGAAAGTGATAATCTTTTGAAAACTTATTTGGATAGTATCTGCAAAATTTTACTATTATGAATAAAAAGATTAGATAAAATTATTAATTTTATCTTTTCATTAATCACTAGCCAATATAAATGCTTCCCTATTTCTAAGCAATATTTTATTTTATTTGATAAACTTCTGGGGTTGCAGAGATGGCTCCACTATTAAGCACACTTGCTGTTCCTGCAGAAGACTCAGGCTTGATTCTCAGCACCCACCCTGAACCACTCACAAACATACATAACTCCTGTTCCAGGGGATTCAAAGCCCTCTTCTGGCCTCTACAAGCTCCTGAATGTGTGTGCTGCTCACACAGACAAGCAGGTACACACTCAAACATATAAATTAAAAAATAGCAAAACATTCTATATTTTGAAATAAACAAAGTTTTCAAAACCATTGTTTTTCATAAAATGTCTTCAGAAAACACAAAGATTGAATCATAGCATGCTAATTTCTCTTTATTACTCAGGATAGACATGTATGCATGCAGATAGAGCAGACCCATAGTTTTCACACTTTACTGAAACTACCCATTTCACGTTTTGCCTTTCTCATGCCAAAATGATTCAAAATGCTCCTTCTCTAATGCAGGCAGAGAAGATAATATATGTTTGTCATGGTGGAGTCCTCAAGAAATAGCTTTTCTTTGGTGGTGTGCATGATTTTCTTAGTCACAGGAGTATTGAATTAGCAGCAGTCTCATGTGACAAATAACATAAGGTTGGGTAGCAGTAACCAGTAATTTATTCCTGTTAATGAAACTTGTTCCAAGTGGCCTCGTGGAGGGCTCAGAACTTCAGCAAACTCAACCTTTCTTCTACTCTATCCTGCCTCCCCGATTTCCTTCCTACTCTCCTTTAGACAGCTCTGATACCAGGCATCTGTGATATGAGTATTCTTGTCACTTCCTCCTGCTATTTGCCCCTTCATTATTCATAGATCTTTCTCTCTTATTGAAGTTTATTACCTCATACCTATCAAGTCTCATTCTAGTTTTTGCTTGTCAGAATACCAAAGAGATGCATCAACTAAGAGATTTGCATTTGACTCTGATACACAAGAGAGAAGGTCAAAGACCCAAGTAAAAAGGGTTTGGTTGAAATCCCGATTTTTGCATTAGACAGGTATAAGCCCATTTTCTCATCTATTAAGTGGGAATAATATTGCAGATTTTGTGGCACTACTGAGAGACTTTTAAAAAATATTTAAATCTGGTTAATTAACATACTGTTGCTCAAACAACAAATATATATGTGTGAATCTGTGTGTATACATATATTTCATTTCTTCTTATAGCTGTATATATGTGTATATGTCTGTGTATATATACATTATTATACACATTATTATGGTACTTTTAGAAAGTATTCTGGGAATGTCTATTAAAATTAAAAGTGCATATCTGAGTGGCTAGGAATATAGACTAGTGTATAAAGTGCTTGCTATATAAGTATGAGAATCAGAGTTCAGATCCTTAGATTCCATGTAAAATCAAGTAGGCATCGTGACTGTCCGAAGTCCAGCACTCTGGACGTAGAGACAGTGGATCCCCAATACAAGCTGGCTAGGTAGACAAGCTGGAATCTTCAAGTTCTAAGTTCAGCAAAAGAATCCACATCTAAAATAAAGTGAAGAGCAATTAAGGAAGACACTGTATGTCAACTTTGAGCCTCTACATGAGTAAGCACATTTATGGATGTACATGTGCGTACACACACACACACACACACACACACATACACACACAAATGAAGTACCTTTCTTTTTTGTAACAGAAATTCTAGTGTTTGTAATCTAGTCCATAGAAATACAAAGGTGAACAAATAAAGTTCATTGTTCAAGATTAATGACTACAGAAAATGTTCAAAAACTGTAAGGAAAGTGAATTTTCATTTATTGGGTAGATGGATGAAGAAATATTATCTAGCGGTACTGTATATTGTAGTCACTAAGACTACAGTGTGAGTAGTTTTATATATGTGATAAGCAATATGTGGGGTAATTCTAGTGCATACTGTATTCACATTAGAAAACTCAACAGTTAGAAGTCTACCATACATGATTATATGTATTTTACATGATAATATGAACATAAATAAAAATATGGGGGACTGTCACTCAAGGGCTTGGCATGGAATACAAGCAAGAAGGTTGCTATGACTAGAATAGAAATTAGTCAACCGGCAACACAAAGGAAAAGAATAAGTTATATCAAAGTATTAGTGAGATGTCAGTAATTTTGTGCGTTTTAAAATTTCTAGTGACAGCATTGATAAACTGAGTATTTTTAAAACACAAGGAGGAGTCACATGCTCAGACATTATCTCTGACAAGTCTCACACTCACAATTATATGTACATGAGATAATAATTGCTGAATCTCTGCTGTATCCAAACACAACTTCTTTGTTTGATATTTGTGTTTGTGTTCAATTCATCTCTAAATTATCTGCATAAAATTGGAATTTCAAGCTTATTTCTTCTGATCAGAAAAAAAAAATTATAGTGATATTTTCCTATTTATAGCTCCAGCTCGACCCAAAACCAAGCCAATCCCTATTTATGATGCCACAGGAAAACTGCTTGTGACTTCAACAACAATTACAATCAGAATGCCGATATGCTACTACAACGATGATCATGGACCAATAAAAAATGTTCAAGTGCTTGTGGCAGAAACAGGAGGTATCACTTGATGTCAGTTTATCTTGTGAAATTACAGGAGGCTCCATTCAAAATTAGTGAATAAAGCTGACTCCTGATGTACCACAATTTAAGATTATTAATAAAATGTCAATATTATCATTGATTATAGTAATTATTTATCTCTAGAGATATTTTACCAAAATGTGAAAAGGCATATATGTGAAAAATATATGATTTACTTATTTCGCATGCTAGTATGATTGCTCTGATTTGGACAAGATAGAGTCCCCATAGCTTCTTTGGATATCTGAATGAATGAGAGTGACTCTTGACTGATGGATGAATCATCTTACACAACAATGTCTTAAATTCATAGGTGGTGGAGGATAAAGTTACCTGTCTCTCCAGGCAGACATTGAATTATCCCTTTTGTTCATAGTGTGGCTGTTGTTGGTATAGATTTCCCTAATGGAATCATACAAAGTATCCTATTAATGTAAAAATGCCTTCACTGTTACTTGTAATAGCTGTTTTCTTTCCTTTCTGAAACTAGTTCAGCAAGATGGAAATGTGACAAAATGGTATGATGCATATTTTAACAAAGCAAGGCCGTATTTTACAAATGAAGGTTTCCCAAATCCTCCATGTGTAGAGGGAAAGACCAAGTTCAGTGGTAATGAAGAAATCTACATAATAGGTGCTGATAATGCCTGTATGATTCCTGGAAATGAAGAGAAAATTTGCAATGGACCTCTGAAACCTAAAAAGCAATATATGTAAGTATAGGTTATGACAACCATGTGCTACAATTTTATTACTGTGTCACCTGTCCATCCACCCACCCTGCCACCATTCCAGTGAGCACTAGATTTCTGCCATATAGAGTGGGCCTGATTGTTCAGGCAAGGGGAATGAAAAAAAAGGCATTATACACTCATTGAACAGGTATATAGTATTATAAGAAAAGCATACAGTCCTGAAAGAAATTATGATTTTGGTACATTAGTGTGACATGAAAAGTGTGATATTGGAGGCTATAAGTAGGTAGAGAACTTATTTCTGTAATGAATGCCCTGACTAATGTGTTTTCATTTGTTTTCTTGCCTCTTGGCATGTACAATGATGTATAAGTTTTCAGAAACAGCATCATGATCTTTCAATTAATTATGGTTTTCCTTTATGACGCTAATAGCAATAACTCTCTTTTATATCATGTCAAATATCTGAATGAGTGACTTTATTAGTATTTTATTAGATGTGTTAATTTTATTCTCTATTTAATTGATGATCTTATTTCATATAATAAGACTATAATTTAGAAGATAATTGCTTTAGCCTTTATTTTCCAAATGTAATTGTAACTATCAATTTTTTTTAATTCAGGAGCTTTCATTTCTGCCTGCTAGCTAAAACATTATTAAATTTCTTATAAATATCTTAGGCTAAGCTAGTATTAGAAAAATTAGGAAAAAGTAGGCAATTAAAATATAATGCACTATCAGTTATTATTAAATGTAATTACTTTAAATTAAATTCTAAGTTATTGCTTGAACTAAAGAAGACAGTTTAAAAATGATGAGCTTCAAAATTTTATATTTACTCTTATTTATTGTTTCCTTTGAATATTTGTTTCCTAGACAGATTCATTATAAAACAAATTAAATCATAAGAGTTTGATAATGCTAAAGAATAAATCATACACTGAGAGTTCTTTGTTTTACATGTTTAAATGGAAGCTGTGCTTTAGTTTTCAAATGAGGTGAATTTCAAATGTCTTTGAGGATCTTAGAATCACCTAGTAATTTTTATGCTTCATTCACTTCTGTACTTTTATCTATTCCAAACATATAAAAATGAGTAAATACAACTAGACACGTACTAAAATTTGAAATCATTATTCTTAATTTGTGTACATGTGAACAAAATAATCTTTGTAATTTGATTCTGTTCTATTTCCAAAAGCAGTTGAGATATAACAGGTATTATGAATCATATTTGTTAATTGTATTAGTCACACTTTTACTGGTCCTAAATTATTCCATCTAAACAAATATGAGGGAGATGATGTGCTTCATTTTCGTCCACTGCTAACTGCTCATGAATTTGCTCAAGTTTCTTGTCACCGTCTCATCCGATTCAATGAACCCAAGAGCAGAATAAATATTAACTTGATACAGATTCATTATAAAGTTGTCTGGTGGTAACTTAATACTAAATTCATGTCTTGTTAATGTATTTTTCTTGACTAAACTATACATTTTTCATAATTATTTGCTAAAATATTTATGGAAGAAAGTAATGGGACATGTAAATTGTTGGCTTTTCTTTTCTTTTTTTCTAGGTTTAAATTTAGAGCAACAAATGTCATGGGACAATTTACTGACTCTGATTACTCTGACCCTATTAGAACTTTAGGTAAGATATATTTTGTAATTTACATATCATATTTTACTGTGTATGACTGTAGTATGCATGCATGCATGCAACTATGCATGTTCACATGAGACTGTTACGTGTGTGTGTACAGGTTGACATGTACATGTGTACACTTGCTTGTAGATGTCGGAGGTTGGCATCATGTGTCTTCTTTCATCACTGTTTTGAGACAGGGTCTCTTGCTGAACTCAGAGCCTGCAGACTGTGGCTGGTCACGCTCTCTAGCTTGCCCCAGGGCTCTCCTCCTGAGATCACAGACATGTGATCTTGCTGCTGAACTTCTAATGTGGATCTAGGGATCCATACTCAGGTTCTCAAGTTTATAAAGCAAGCACTTTGTCCACTGAGCCTTTTTCCCAGCTTTATCCATCAGCTCAACATGTTTATATAATGGGGACACTAAAAAAATTTATTGTTCCTTTGTACATTTCATACAACCGTTCTTAATCAAATTTAGATCCCTTTTCCCATCCATGCTCCCCAACAGACCTCATGTATTCGACCATACACCTTAATTCTTACCCAGTCAAGCATTTGTACCCAGGTATCCTTCGATGCAAATATATCCACTGGAGTCTAGTCAGCCTATTTAGAGATCATTGGTAAGACCAAATCTTCCTCACCTAGTAGCAATTAGTCTTCAATAGTTTCCCAACTAGGGCCAAGGGAACATTTATTAAATGTTCAGTCAATATACTAATCTTCAGCTGAATATTCTTAAATACAAGTTTATTTCAAAGTTAATTAGCTTAACTAAGAAAACTATTCTTCCAACAGTCTTTTGCTTTTGTAATTTGAGATAAGTCCTCTCTATGTAGCCCTGGCTTGCCTGGAAATTTCTATGTAGACCAGGCTGGTCATGAACTCACAGTGTTCTGCCTGCCTCTGCCTCCTGAGTGCTGGGATTAAAGGCCTGTGCCACTGTGCCTGGCCTTCCAATATTCCTTTAAAATAGAGACGCTCCTACTATATATGCCTGACTATAAATTCTGTTAAAGTATTGCTTCCGTGCTGACACTATCCTAAATAAAACCTTAACTCTTTAAATGTGTAATCTCATAGGTTAAAGATTGTTACATAATAAAAGATAAATCATCTTATAGTGTTTTCCCTTGAGTAATTTTTAAAACTATTATTTCATTTCTTTTATTTTACATTTTCATTATTTTTTCAATTATATCAACATAAATCAGGTCTAAATATAACACCATTTAGTCAAATGCATGTGTCTGTCATCTTAACCATTACAATAATTGCATCTGAAATTAAATATTCTATGCTGATCACACTTGTAGGCTCTTTTCATATATTAACTGACAAACTCTCTTAAATTATATTTTAAGTTGGGTCAGTATTTCTCATTGTGATTTTATGCCCCAAGAGATATATGACATTTGTAGCCATTGTCTGTTTAAGTAAGAGAATGCAAATGGTGTGATAATGCTGCGGTTGCTGCTGCTGTCACTGCCGTAGATGCTGATGCTGTTGCTGCATCTTATTGCTTCTGGTGGTATCTGCATTTCTGCAGTGCAGGAGGCAGCCCATGCTGTCAGTTGTGATTAGAATGAGAAACTCTAAGTGCTGGTCTTTTCTCCCTTTTACGGATGAGGTAAACAATGCTCAAATTGTTTAAGTTATTGTTTGGACCAGATTTCTAGAATTCTGCCCCAGGATTCCACACCAACTGAAGGGTTAAGGTCTTGATTTAAATCTTAGCTCTGTAGTTTGAAGTAATAATTTAGTTTTTATAAATATGTTACCTTGTTTGAAAAATGAGACTATCTTTTTGAAAGGGTTCTTGAAATGTTTAAATAGCATATATTACATATGTAAAGATATTAAAAGTTATAGTTAGTAAATTGCTCAGTGTTTGATAGCTTCTCTTGAGTTATAATCAAATATATTGAAAAACATTTTTATTTAAGAGAAATTAATTCCCTGGAATTTTACCCAGATTACAAATTCTTAATTATTTGTACCAGAGCCTCAAACAACCAAGTCACCTAATGTAGTACTTTAAGGGTAGGTATGTGTCTGGATATTATTTGAATATGCGTGAATTCTGGGTTGGCTCTGATCTTGCTGATCTCTGAGAGCATCTACAAGACATATCAGTGAGAATATTTACTGCTGAAAGGTGGACTGTTCACCACTTCAGTCCGAGAATCTCCTCAGACTGAATACCTTCTGCAGTTTATACAGAGAGAAAATACATCTTTAAGAAATAAGATGCACAAAGTATGCTAAATACAGCAGTGTCTACAAATATTTACTAAAGAGTAACACATTTCTTTGGCTAAAGTCTTTAATTTCATAAAATAATTGGTTTGATTAATTTTACCCAATAAATTTAATGATTATAAAATTACCTGGTTTGACTTGTGGTTTTGTAATTGTGTGGAACATCTTTCTTTTATCTGATAGATGAGTTTATCACATCCTGATATCACTATAGCAAACTAAATCCCCTGAATTCAGAATTTAAATAGAATTACCACAGCTAAACAGTGATCCTGGTGTATTTGCTGATGGAAGATAAAGGACAGATAAGATGCAGAATTCAAGTGCCTTAGGGAGCTCATATGTCATAGAGAAGGGCTGAGGGGAGCTATGCTTGCTGTGCTGGGTGTCATGTGCTTTGTCTCTCATTACTTTTTGGTTTTATGCAGATTATCAATGGGAGGACAGGTTCAGGCATCTAAATGAGAAGTAAAGTTAAGTCATCAGGGTAAAACAAGTCAGAACAGCTGAAGAAGGGGCACAGTCAAGCACCAAGAACCAGGTAGAGAAGGATGTGGCACCTTCCAAAAAGGGTGTCATCTAAATCACACAGTGCTTCTCAGCAATGGCTTTTGCTTTATTTCCTCTTCTCACAGCCAAGGGAGTAGACTGCAAGTGTTAATTTCAGAAATACATAGTTGGTTATCTGATTTTTTTCCCCCATGGAATCATCATCAACCAGACAGTATTGCTTATGTACACTGGAAATAAGGGAATCTAGAGCATGTGAATTATTGGAGTTAAGGATGAAGCACAGGCTCCTGTAAAGTCCAGAAATGAAGAGGCCAGTGAAACATAGACTAGACACAGCAAACATCACATCACTGAGCTGGTAATACGTATGACAAGGAAGGGTCGAATGTATCTCTCTCAAGGTTCACTGTAATATTTGTACATTAGCAGCATAAGGGCAGCCATTTGGGATCTCTCTTAGATTGATTTTCTGTGGACCCTGTTCTGGAAGAGAGTGGTTTTATAATTAACTTGTGCCCTACAATGCTTAAATGGCTATTAAATAGTGACAGATGAGATAGAAGGACATTAATAGAAGATTATTGAGAAAAAAAATCACTGTTGGCAAAAGAACATCACAAAAAAGACAGGGAGTCAAGAAGAAAATAAGATTTTTTCCTGTAATGAGAAAACGCCTACAGCAGAAATGGGGACAAGCACATAGGCAGGTGATTGTACAAATACCTCTGTGTGATCAGAGATGACAAAGGGAGATTGAGCCATTTTTTCTCTCTCGATTATGCCATGTGTGGCCTGAATTCTTTCTGGGTCTCCTGTGAGATCAGACAAACCTTATATTTTATGTGTATTTATTAACTTACAAAGGAATGAGTACCCAGTGCCTAGCCCTGTGCCACGCTTTAGAGCCCACCTTATCAGACTGTGCCACACCCATAATTCGCTCACGCCTTTGGGGCAAGCAATAGCACCAGGTTCATTAAAAGTTATTTTATTCTGTCTTTCAGCTGTTGCGAGTGTGGCTTGCTGCTTCCCTACAGCTCGAGGCTTCTCCAGCTGGCTTACGGATTCTATTCCAAGATGGCCCCCAGCCACACCCCCATAGTCCACACTCTGTGTCAGGCCCCACCCATTGGAGGAACTAGCCAATCGGGAGACACTCCGTCCCTTTCCTCCGCTCTTATAATTTTTCCATCCATCTTCCACTAAAGTCCCTGAGCCTTGGAGGGGGTGATAGATGTAGGGCAATCTCTCTGCATCTTGGCAAGAGAGTGGCTTCTTGGGCCTCCCCATTAGTCATGTTTAGGCTGTGGCCACTGATCTATCTCAGTGGTGTTTCTTCTACTATAAAGACAAATGGAAGGAAGTAGACACATTTAAACAAACATGAATGTAAATACAGATGCCTAGAAGATACCCCAATAGGTGTACTATATTCATTAAACAATATACTCATGATGGCAACTCCACTAGGGCAAAAGGCGTTGGCCTGGTCTACAGCACCAGATGTATGTTACACCCCTAGAAGCAGGCCTTATCCAGTTAGAAATTTGTCAGTAGCACATATGTGGTTGAGCCATTATTGGACTTGCAGGTATTGCAGCACGTGAGTCCATCATTGAGTAAACTTAAAGGGGATCCTTTCCTCCCCAATCCTCTGTATAGAGCCTTCTGGCAATATGAACATCATCCATCCAGTGGCATGGAGTTTTTTGGCTTAGTCTCAGTTACATTTCTTCTTCTCCCGTGCTCACAACATGCAGTGTCCTCAGCAACATGGCCTTACCGACCTTTCTAGTGTACAAGCGACATTAATGGCAATAGCCTTGGTGAATTGGAGGACCTCAAGGGTCTCTCTCTGACCAATTGCTCATAGGGGAGCAACCCACACCAGTACTGTAGATTTTCTTAACAGCTGTCTATAGCTGGCCTTTGCTTCTTCAGGTATCTTTCAAATGGGTTTCACATCTGTGAAACACTTGAAGGAACATTGACATTATATATTCATCACTCATGGACAAAGTCTCATAAAGCATGGAAAGGTTTGGTCCGTTCGTATTAATTGTTTTCTCCATAGATCCTTGTTAGTTACCATAGCATGGGTATGAGGCATTAGTTTGGTTAGCTCATTGCCATTTTTAGTTATCCCGTTAGATTCTTTTATTCTTGATACACTTAACAGTTGCCTGACCCTACACTGGGCTAAGGAGGCAGGGGGCTTCTCCTGT